CACGGCAGGCTGTGAGGGAACAGGAGGAGGTGTTAGGACTCTGCCAGGATTTCCTTCCTGCGGGCCATGTGGATGGTGGGTAATTCACTGAGGATGGGTTTAGGACACCTATAGGAGGGCAGAGGTGGTGTCCAGTGGTGCATTACATCTGCTGCTCAGAAAGACTAAAATTTGGGAGGTGTCTGTAGAGATTAGAAAATTAGAACCACAGAGAATGAGTAGAGGGAGAAGGAGGTTGGGAACAAAGACCCAAGAACACAACATTCAGGGTCCTGAAAGGACAGGGACCCTCCACAATAGAGTGAGGTGAGGAAAGGAAGGGTCAAAGAAGCTAAGCAATAACAGCTTAAGAGGTGGGCACATACAACACAGGTGTCTCTCCAAGTGTTCACTGACTAGAAAGGCTCCCTATGGTAGAACTCCATTGATAGGACCTTCTGGAAAGGGTGAACATAGGGAACCATAGGGAAAGGACACATATCAACCCTTTGTGGCCAGAGTTTAGAGATCAGGGAGATATTGACTACAAAAAGTCGACACAAGGGAATTTGGGGATGGTGGAGCTATTTGGGCTTGGGGTGTGGGGCATTTCTCAAAACTTGGAGAACTATACTAAGAATGGATTTGATGGATGGATGACAGATCCATTTATTTAGATGTATATATACTCATTAATGCATAAATAAGAAGTGACCAGGATGTGTGTGGGGGGGTGTATGCGTGTGGAAGTCAGAAGTCAGTGTCGTCAATGTCAAGTGTCTTCCTCTATTACTTGCCCCCTTTTTTGGAGACAAACTCCCTTACTGAAGCTGGAGCTCACCATTACAGCAAGACTGACTGGTCAGCAAGCCCCAGGGATCCAGCTATTTGTTTCCTAGTACTGGAATTACAGGCACACACCATCACACCTGGCTTTTTACATGAGTACTAGGAATTTGAACTGAGGTCTTTATGCTTGTACAGAAAGCACTTTACCCACTGAGCCATCTCTCCAGACCTAGAAGTGGTCAGTTCTCTCAAATGTTCTAAGGAGATCAAGAAATACCCATGCTAGATTTCCACTGGATCCGTGGACTCTGTGTTGGATTGTAGGCTTGAACTTGACCAACAAGATGCCATGCACATTCCTCTTTTCAAGAGCTCGGGTTCTTGCTATGTTCCTTAAAGCTCCCAGGAAAACAGAGCCTCAGATGAAGGAGACATTGGCCCTGAGAAGTATGTCAGTTGTAAGATGCTCGGCTGAAGAAAGCCAGGTATTGGTTGAGCCCCATCTTGGATTCTTCACCTGTACAAGACTGTGGTCGTGCAACTGTGGATGACTCCTTTAGCCTTGCAGAGCTGATCTGCTCATCAGTAAAGTGAGAATGATGAGCTCATCAGGACTGCCTGGGATAGTCAAGCTTTGAAAAGTTGGTAGCACAGCCTTTGGGCCTTGACATAGGCACCGTTCTCTTCATGGACTTGGTACACACCCTCCACTTCCCCGAAGTCCGTGACGGCTGACTGTCCATACGTTACCACTCCACAGAGCATTCACTGCCTCTCGATCATCTGTTTGCTTGTCCCAATGCACTGGACCAGGCATGTTGGGGGGGGGGTAACACCTTTAAGACTCAGCGCCTTGCCTGATCATGGTAGTCCCGTGTTTAAAGACTTCTGCTTTTCCAATAGCTTTGGTGTCCTCCTCAAGTCAAGTCACCCTCCAAGGTGCAGCCGTCATGCCTGGAGAGGCTCAGGACGCACAGAATCTCACTGGGCAATTCCCAGAGTCCAAGCCTATTGAGGGAGTGCTCTGGAAATACCCGCTGAATAAATTCATCCATTTGACAATGAGCAACGATGTTTGCAAAAGGACAGCGTGGAAGGAAGGGGCAGTGCTGCGAGAGTATCACCGTGTAGCTTTTTGTGAAAAGTCCTTCGCTCGAGGACTTCAAGTGGCAGTTTATAGGGTGCTGAGGGGACTGTGGGTGCTCACAGCCCCAAGCCCCTTAGGTCTTATTTATGATGCTCAGGAAGGCAAGTAACAGGAGAGACCATCCTGAATGTCCTGGGCCCCATGTGTGCTACAGAGTGGAATGGGGACAAGGTGGATGCTGGGTAGAAGGATGCCTGAGTGTGCCCAGGACCACAAGTAATCTCTGGGGCCAAGGTCCAAAGGGAAGGATCTTAAAGGGGGGGGGCGGGGGACAGGGAGGCTGCTTTCCTTCCTGTCCTTCTCCTGGCTCCCCACTCCTGGGGTCTAGTGGTGCTGACATCACCCCACCTCTCTGAGCTCCACAGCACCTGCAAACAAATCTCTCCTTCCCCACACTAGCATCCCAGATTTCTACAGCTTAAAGGCTTAGGCATGACCTCAAAAGTCATGTGTGTGTCCTGCTGATCTCTATCCCCTCCTGGGCTAGGGTGGGGGGAGTCTGAGCAGCGGGGTTGTGATGAGCACTCAGACATGCAAGCCTCACACACTTGAACATGGCCCCAGGTTCTTATCCCACAAGTCGTAGGAGGAGAGAGGTTTCCTCAGGGAGCTGGGATGACACAGCTTGAACAAGCAGGGTCTCCTGAGGCCTGTGCAGCCTGTAGTTTGCTTTCTTTCTTTCCCTCTTTCTTTTCCCTCACAAAGCCAGTTTGTTCTCTCTCTTGCTTTCACAAACTAAAGCTGCGCATTGACTGCAAGCTGCTGGGACAGAATGTGCTAGTATGTGAACAGTCCTCGGGGTTATCTCTCTTTAACAGCCACTGGAATCTGTTGGAATCGCACTCATAGGCAAGATAAAACACCCCTGATGTGCTAGTAGTTGCCAAGGTCACACAGGTCTTAAGGGACAGAGGTATTTCCTCAAACCTCAGCCCATCTGCTCCAAAGACAATGAACACGGGACGTAACTGCAGGTTATAGTTGTTATTCTTGGTGACAGGATGGGAGGGGCAGGGATTGGCACCAGCACCTGCTGGCTTCTGGAAAATTATAATCCTGTAGCAGGGAGTGGACTGGTCCCAGCTAGCGGCAACTAGAGAGGGTAGGGTAGCCCCCTGCCTGCTGCAGTCTTTGCTGTCCACACCAGGGCATGCCACACACAATTGGTAAAACTTGCATGTTTGTAGCAGATTGCCACTGAAGAGGCAGAGGGCCCTGAGAAGGGTGCATAGCCCATGGGTAGGTGAGCCCAAACTCCAGGCCACTGCGTAGCATGATAGCTAGACCTGGATTCTCGGTGGCTCTCTTCTTAGAACCTAATCTTCAAACAGGAGCATACATGTCTTCGCACCTGTCTTATGGGTTCAGAATGTGTGAGAAGCTGCAAGTGGGCACTGAGAATGGGGGCAAAGGCAGCTAGAAGCTCTACTGGTCACCTACTGGCTTTACTGGCAAAATTAAGACTGTGGATAGCATTTACTGTGCCCTGCAGTCTTCTGCATGCACACGGGGGTGTAGGCAGCAGAGCCACGTGACAGGACTGGTCCTATGAAGGACAGAGCCATTTATAAACCCACAGCCCCTCCTGACTGGAGGCCAGACGATACGTACTCCACCCTAGAAAAATGGCATTTCATTCTCATTCTCAAAGACAGCCCAGGATTGGGTAAATCACCAGCTCTCTGAACACTGGCTTGGAGAATCAGGAAATGTCTTGAATTCTCATGGTAGAACTATCTATTGATCTGTGCTGAAAAGTCCCAGACAGTTCCACTTCTCCTGGAAATGAGATCCTGGCCACAGGAATGTAGAGTCTCTCCCTCAAGAATTCCCCATCTCCAAGCAGTAGATCCATGCCCTTGAACAGGCAACTACAATTCTATTAAATAGGTTTGATGTAGTAAAAAATAAATAAATAAATAAATAAGAAGTGAAAGAATCTTTTTCATTAAACACTGCTTGTTTCAAAGCAGGAACGCTAAGTGCTTGGGGAGCTGCTGTTTTTGATTTCTTATCAGGTGAATTTGTGTTTGAAAACCAGGAAAGTTTCCATGTAAGGGAGAAACATTTGTTTTCAGAGTTTAGGGCCATATTGTAATTACAGAGCAGGGACTTCTGTCTTGGACATCTATTTAACAGGCATCTTTAGTAGGCAACTATTGAGTGTCTGCTATGGACTAGGTGTCTTCCCATTACCTGAGGGCAGGTGAATGTGACAGCATCCCCATAGCATGAGATGGTGCAGACAGCTGTCCCCGTTAACACTGTACCATTATTTATTCAAAAGATTGTTACGATCTGAAAAAATATTATATGCTGGGCCCAGCCAGGATACTAAGGGTGCAATAGTATACCAAGGCAATGTGAATCCTTGCTTTCTGGAAGCTTAAAGTCTAGCTGATAGGATGGGGGGCGGGAAGCAATGGGAAGTCTGGGAGGGCTTGCCAGGGACCTGTAAAAATGGCATTCATTTGTGAAAGTGCCTGTCATCCATCATCTTGGGTGTCAGGAAGCTGTGGAGGGACCATTTCTCCTTGCCTGTGGACTTTCTGAGACAGCTATATTACTCAGAGCTGTCTGGGGCTGCAGGGAAAATACTTGAACTTGAGCATTTGATTTGGCTTGTTTCCATATTCTGGCCATTACAAGTAACACAGCTATGAGCATTGCTATACTAGTTTTTGTGGGGCTGTGCATTTCAGACTTGCTGGCCATGTCATCTTTCTGTTATTGTCTGATGAACTCCTGAAGCTGTTGCATTTCACATTCTACCTACAGCATGCTTGTCTTTTGGATCACAGCCATCTCAAGGTGTATGAAATGTGTCATGCTGTTTCTCAAGGCACAAGGTGGATCTAAAACCCAATCAACTCTCAAGTCCCGGGTTATCTGCGGCTAATCCAACAGCCACTAGCTTCTTCTTAAAAGCACTAGTCTGCCCTGAACTGAGAATCAGTTGCCCCTCCTTTGGTCAGACAGTCTGAAACCAGTGGGCCCGTGGTTCCTTGGTAGACTCGAGATCTCAGGTGAGTTTTCTGGAGGCATACTGCCACCTAAAACCCTGCTGTCTTCTCTTCTCTTCCAGCCATCCACGAGTTCCCCACAGACCTGTTCTCCAACAAAGAGCGACAGCATGGGGCTATCCTGATGCACATCCTTGGTGTAAGTGTCCTTGAAGGCCAAAGGCCACTAAACCTCTGGCACAGGAAACTTGTCCTAGTTTCCTTTCTGTTACCATGGTAAAACACACTGACCAAGCCAGGCGTGGTGGCGCACACCTTTAATCCCAGCACTCAGGAGGCAGAGGCAGGCGGATCTTTGTGAGTTTGAGGCCAGCCTGGTCTAAATAGTGAGTTCCAGGACAGCTGGGGCTACAGGGAGACCCTGTCTCAAAAAGATAAAAAAAAAAAAAAAAAAAAAAAAATCAAAATGGTGGAGCTCAAGAGATGGTTTAACAAGTAAGCAAGGCCAGCCTGGTCTACACAGTGAGTTCCAGGACAGCTGGGGCTACAGGGAGACCCTGTCTAAAAAAAAAAAAAAAAAAAAAAAAAAAAAAAAAATCACACACACTGTGTGACACTGACCAAAAGCAACTGGGAGAGGGAATGGTTTATTTGTCTTACACTTCCAGGTGATAATCCATCATTGAGGGCAGGAGGTCAAACAGGAGCTGAGGTAGAAGCTATGGAGGAGCACTGTTTACTGGCTCATGACTTGCTGATAGGCTTGCTGACTGGTTCATGGTCTCAGCTACCTTTCTTATACAGCCCAGATCCACCTGCCTAGGGCTGGGGCCACCGACAGTGGGCTGAGTCCTCCCATATCAATCATCAGTCAAGACAATGGCCCGTAAACATGCCCACAAGCCAATCTGATAGAGACAATTCTTCAATTGAGGTTCCCTCTTCCCAGGTGATTCTAGGTTGTGTTACATTCACAATAAAATCTAACCAGGACAAAGCCCAACTGCACAGTATGGCAAAACCATAGAGTGTCTAAGATCTTGTTCAGTCCTTGTTTTTTTAATATTTTTATTTTATGTGTATAAGTGTATTGCTTGCATGTATGTACGTGCACCCCTGTCATGCAATGCCCACAGAGGTCAGAAGAGGGCATTGAATCCCTTGGAACTGGAGTTACGGATGGTTGTTAGCTGCCATGTGGGTGCTGGACTCAAACCCGGGTCCTCTGCAAGAGCAGCCAGTGCTCTTAACTGCTGAATCATCTCTCCAGCCCCTTGCTCAGTCATTGTAACAGCCATGGGAAGAGAACAAATGCTAGGCCATTTTACCCAATAAGAGGCTTATCTTAAATCTATCAGGTGACTTGCCTAGTGTAACACAGCTCATGGCTCCACACCCAACATAGGGATGCAGGTCTTTTCTGTGTCTCATTTTTACTTTTGTAAAATAGGGATGACAGCCAGGACTAGAGGTCAAGTGATCAGACATTTCATGGTACGTGGGTCCTCCGTAAAGGCATGTTGTCATGACTCATGTGACTGCCTCCTAAATCTCTTCCCATATCTCGAAGACTTTGACTCACTTCTCATTCCCTTCTGTAGTCAGACAGACCCTGATGCCACACAGTGGAGTTCAATAGCAATTTAAACAGGAATAAGGAATTAAAACCCCAAAGTATTTTGGGACAGGCCAAGCAAATCCCAGCCCCAGCCAGATTTTTGCCTCCTTGCCTACTTTTACAGTTTTATCTTTTTTTTTTTTTTTGAGAAAGCATTTCATGTATCCATGCTAGCCTCAAACTTACTATGCAGCTGAGAATGACCTTGAACTTCTGATCCTCTTGCCCCCATCTCCCAAGTGCTGGGATTATAGGTATGTGCTACCTTGTCCAGTTTATGAGGTAATGAGGCTCAAAGCTCTGGTATTCTGTATGCAGGGCAAGCAGTATACCACTGAGCTATACCCCAGTCCCTTCATGAATAAAGTTTTATTGAAGACAGCCACTCCTATTCATTTGCTAACAAAGACTCACGTAAGAACCAACAAAGTCTTTCAGCCTTGCCCAGCCTGGGATTGAAATTGTGACTCCATTTTAGCCCCATTTTCTTCTCCAGTGTTTCTTCAGTGTCATGAGAGACAGACCCTTGGAACTCACAGGTCACTTTGGCTTGGGATGTGATGCCGGGAGAAATTGTCGGAGGTGTGAAGTACAGTCAGAATCTTGGAGTATATGTGCAGTTCAAGAGTTGTTCTCTCTTTTACCCATATCTATACTGTTTCTTTTTGCTTCTGCCCCAAAGCCAATGGGTCAAATCCAAGGGCAGTCCCATTTGAACTCCAGTAGACATTTGCTACAGGTGCCGTGGCCAATGCTAGTGTAGCTTCCATTTCAGTTCATCCCAGTTAATTGTGACACTGTGTTTGGGCTGAGGCATGTGGCCTCTTTCTCTTTTTGCAAACAGGATGTTTGTGTCACTATTAAATAAGTCTCATTTCCTTTCCATGGGCACTGGTCCTTGCCCAGGTTCCAGTCTGCCTTTCCACCTCACTCCTCTCTTCCCCTGTAACAGTGACCTTGTTTGAGTGCTCACTTGCCTTGAGGCCTTTGCACTTGCCATTTGCTGATTCTCACAGACGCTTCATTCACCTTTTGTTTTTGTCTTATACTAGGGTTGAGTCCAAAGAGGCAGAAATTTTCCCTGCCGTCCCCCAGGCTCCATCCCGGTCATCCTCTGCTCCAGCTTTGATGTCCACAGTAGTGGATAGCTGGCAGATAGGATGAATTCAGTAAAGCCGTGTTGGGTGGCTGTGTAGACAGACAGGGCAGGGAGAGGTTCTTACTAGAAAATGACATAGAAACTACTGGTTTATTGCTGTTTCATCATTAAATAGAGAGAGAAACTCAGACCTAGAGACAGGACCCATCCAAAGTCACAGGCCAAATAAGTCCTGGAACCTGCACGCTGAACCACAAACCTCCCAATATACACATGCAGGTGTTCAACAGACCTAGGAAATGCTGGACCTTTAGGTAAATATAGTTTTGACTCTAAGCAGACCATCGATAACAAGGCAATGATGCTTTCTCTAAAAATAAGGGGTTAAGTCAGGGCTATTATTATTTTTAAATTATAAATAGTTGTTCTAAGGGCATTCCCTCTTCACCTTTAGGTCAGAACTAGCTTTTTTTTTTTTAAGACTTGCTCTGGGAAGGAGGTGTCAGGAGGTGCCAGCTGAATGAGCCTATGGTCCCAGCACTTGGACGATAGAGGTAGGAGGACCAGGAGTTCAAGGCCAGCCTTGACTACATAGCAGGTTTGATGTCAACCTGGGCTGCATGAATCTCTGTCTCGAAATATAAACAAACAAAAGTGAACAAAAAATGAAAAGTGGCTGCCGCCCTCACTATTTCACCTCTGCTCACCAAAGTGAGGGAGGCGGCTGTAGGTCACCTATGCCCAGTTTGGACACTGTCTCCCTGTCTATGTGGATGTGATGTCAGACCCCAAGGCTCAGTCCCAAGACTGTCTCTGCTTTCCTTAAAGCCACCCCAGGCAGTGTTCCTCATGTTTCTGATTACCTGGCCACAAATCGAGGTCCCCACATTCCTCTCCTCTGTAGCAAATTCTGTGCTCAACAGCTCAGAGCTCAGGAAAACACACTTAGCTGTGTTATAAGGGATGTGGCACAGGACGAAGGTAATTGGGAAAGTGGAGGAGATGCCCAAGGTGAGGTGTGAGGAAGGCGCAGGGCTCCCCTGCCCTCTCTGGGCACTGTACCCCAGCAACCTACCCATGTTCAGCCAACAGCTGTTTTTCTGAGCCTGCCCTTCCAATTTCATGCAGGCTTCCTTACAAATGTCTTACTGACCTACTCAGCCCTCAGTGCCTTCTCTTGTGTGTTCAGCCCCACCCCCCATCCTGCCCTGGGACTTTTCAATGACCAATGCCATCCTGTCTAGGGCCACCAACTTCCAGCCATCTCATGAGCATATAAGAGACATTGTATTGTTGTAGAGATCTTGAGGCCTTTAGGAACTGTGTGCCAGAGACCACTGGCAGAGACCAAATCCCTCTCCCCCCCCCCTCTCTCTCTCTCTCTCCTCCCTTTCTCCCTTTCTCTCCTTTATCTTTCTCTCTCTTCCCCCACTCTCTTTGATCCCCATCTGCCTCTCTTATTTATATGTGTTTGTATTTGTGCATATGAACATGTGTACACGTGAATGGTGGCCAGAGTTCTAAACTGAGTGTCTTCCTCAGTTGCTCTCCACATTATATTTTGATACAAGATCTCTCACTGAACCTGGGCTTATCATTTGGGCTAGACTGGCTGGCCAGCAAACTCCGGGGATTCCCATCTCTACTTCCCCAGCACTAGGATTATAGGCATGTGCTATTATATCCACTTTTTATTAGGTGTTGGGGATCTCAACTCAGGTTCTCATGCTGATGCAGCAAGTACTTGGCTAACTGAGCCATCTCCCAGACCCTCTCTCATTTTTTTGTCTTTTTGAGACAGGGTCTCCCTGTAGCCCCAGCTGGCCTGGAACTCACTGTGTAGACCAGGCTGTCCTTGATCTCACAGAGATCCACCTGCCTCTGCCTCCAGAGTGCTAGGATTGAAGATGTGCACCACCACACCCAGGACCTCTCTCATTTTTTTTGAAATAGGGTCTTTCTTTGTAGCCCAGGCTGGCCTGGAACTTGCAGTCCTCCTGTCCCAGTTTCCCCAGGGCCGAGATCACAGGCATGTGCCACCCTGCCAAGCTCCAAACCTGTGACAATGCTGAAAGAGGGCACAAGCCCACAGGGCCTGGGTTTTCATCTGTCTGCTGCTCAGCAATTTCTCCTCTCTAGGCTTCAGAGTCTCCATCTGTCAAGGAAGAAATGGAGAGGGCAAATCTTTGGTGCTGGGGCTTTCCCATGTGCCCCACCCACCCTGGCCTCTGCCCACAGCTTGGCATAGCTATGAGATTCCCACACTGACCCTGCTTTCCCTTCACAGGCTCTCTATATGTTCTATGCCCTGGCCATCGTGTGCGATGACTTCTTTGTCCCATCCCTAGAGAAGATCTGCGAGGTATGTGAGAAGAACCTGGAGTCCCTCAGCAGAGCCCAGAGTGACTGAGGATGTGTGTTGTGTAAATGTCAAGGGCCAGAAGGTTGGGTTAGGACAGGAAGTGCTCTGGTGGAAAAGACCATCAGACCAAGCACCTAGTGTCCCCATGGCCACACCTGACCCTGAAACCACCAAATCAGTGCCCATGGCATCCTGTCCCCAAGCTCAGCAGAAGCCACTACCTATGTGAAGTCACATCCTTAGCCATCATGCTCCAAGAGCCATGGCATGTGGGCCAGACCTCACGAAGTCACCTAGCTCTTTGAGGCTATATTGTCATAGTTGGGGACAGTTGACTCTTAGGGACAGGCATCTTCCTGCATCTTGACTTGCTTCAGGGTACAGCCAGAGGAACTTTGTGTCACTGTACAGTGATTAGTGACTGCTGTAGAACCTGGGTCCCCCAAACTGTGACCTGGCAAAAGACACAAAGCCTTTCCCTCCCCTGACTCCCCTTTCTTTCCCTCTACCCCTAAACTCTTCCAATGGAGCCATGGGAGGTTTATACAGAGGATTCCATCTCAGGACCACGGGGTAGATGCTGGGTGGTAGTGGTTCCTATAAGGGTACTGTAGCTGCCTCTGCCTCCTGGAGGCAAGCCCCCAGGAAAAAATGCAGCCATGTATCCTTACTTGTGAGCACTGGCTCTTTGTCTGTGACAAGATGCCTGACATAATAATGTAAGGAAGAAAAGATGTATTTAAGCTCATGGTTTCAGGGGTTTTAGTCTATGCTCTGCTGGCTCTACTGTTTCTGGGCCAGGGTGAGGCAGAACATAGAAGGTGGGTATGGTAGAAAGCTGGTTACCTCAAGGTAGCCAGGAGCAGAGACAGAGAAAGAGAGAAAGATGGGGAGGGACAAAGAGGCTAGGGACAAAGTACAACCCTAAGGATGCTGTCCTCATGACTCACTTCCTCCACTAGGCCCTGTCTCCAAGAGTTCCGTCACCTCTGGTTAATTACATTGAACTATATAATTCACTAATGAAATCAGAACTCTCGTGATTTAGTCACTTTCCAAAGCCCACCTCTGAACCATGCCACAATGGAAACTAAGCCTTTAACCCAGGAACTGGGCTATACAGGACTGTCCTGGACTGATAGCTTGGGAAAGCCGTACCAGTAGGGTTGGGGCCTCTCTGCCCTCTGGAGTTAAGAGAAGCCCATGGAAAGTGGGCCAGGACGCTGTCAGTATAGGTAGAGGAGAGAACAAGGGGAGTGGTCTTACAGGTAAGACCAATGTAAGGGGCTTAGATGGGTAACAAGGGAGCCAGAGGGAAGGGAGCATCACTGTTAGAGACAGGCCCAGGAAGGCTTACTGGGGGAGATAGCATTTGGTCCAGACTCTGGAAGTGAGAAGTACTTCACTAAGCAGAGGGGGAGAAAAGATTCCAGGAGGAAGGATGGTGCAAGCCAAAGCCAGGAGGCAGCAGAACATGGCCTTACTGAGCAGCATAGGCTCGGACAAAAAGTCCCCAACTCAATACCAGGAATAGGTGGGATCACTGGATGCAGGACTTGCCATGAAGAAACATCCAAAATAGAAGACTCAGGCATGTGTGGGGGCCCAAGTCCCACAGCCCCAGGACAATTGGTAGACAGACTCTTGTTCAATACCACTATCTGCCTCATCCTGTTCTAGGTACTAGGAAACCTCAGGTAGCATTGTCCTCGTGGTCCAGAGAGAAAGGTGAGGGTGTGTGCTGCCAACCCTCATCACAGAATCTGTGTTTCAATAATGAGGATGAAATGAGCATGGTCTGAGGGGGTATAACTGGCTCTAGGGATTCAGGAAAGAATTCATCAAGGGGTATAGACAGGAGCCTAGAGAATGAAGAGAAAGCAGATAGGCCAGAGAGAAAAGAGAAGGTGAAGCCTGGCAGACAGAGTGTGGGGGGTATGTGCTCCTGCCTAGGGTGTGTGCTTGGGTGCGAGGCAGGAGCTGGGCCCAGAAAGAAGAGTCTGAGGGTCAAGGAGCCCTGAATCACTGTGCCCTGAACTTCCTGCTGCCCAAGCGCCCAGTGACCATGTCTACCATCCCCCTGTCACATTCCATTGCCTGTGTTCTTTCCATTCCAGAAACTTCATCTGAGTGAAGATGTGGCAGGCGCCACCTTCATGGCTGCGGGAAGCTCCACACCAGAGCTGTTTGCCTCTGTCATTGGTAAGGACCCAGCAACCAGGATGTGATGCAGAGAGAGCAGGGGCCTGTTGCCCAGCACAGTAGGGCCTTTACTAGCTCTCAGCCTCAGTTTCCTCACTTGTAAATCCATTAAGTAAAGGGGATGGGAAGTAGATTGGTGATTTCTCAGAGTATGGGGTGCTAATGGGCACGGGGCTTCTTATAGGGAGATGAAAATATTCTAAAATTAGATTGTGGCTTTGGTTGTACAAGTCTCTGGATCTACTAGACATGTGAATTATGTCTCAATAAAGTTATTCAAAAACATAGACATGAGCCCATGAGATGGCTCAGTGGATCAAAGTCCTTGCCATGCAAGCCTGAAGATCCAAGTTCAACTCCTAAAACCCACAGAGGAAGGAGAGAGCTGACTCCCAGTTATTGTCCTCTGACCTTCCAAAAGTCTGTCCTCTGCGCCATGGCCCACACAGGCCCACACTTATGCAATAATAATAATAATAATAATAATAATAATAATAATAATAATAGGGGCTGGCAAGATAGTTCGGTGGTTAAGAGCGCTGGCTGTTCTTGTAGAAGACCCAGGTTTGAATCCCAACAGTCACATGGAGGCTAACAGCTGTCTGTAATTCCAGTTCCAGGAGATCTGATGCTCTCTTCTGTCTTCCACAGGCACTACACAACACAGGTGCCCTTACATACATGCAGGTTTTACACTCATACACACATAAAATAAAAATAAATAATAATAATAATAAATTTAAAAGGAGAGCAAAATATGGGTGCAGGGGAGGAGCTGGTCCCCAGGGCCTCCACTCTCTGGTTTGGCCATCGTCCCTAATACCGTGACTGACTGTCTGCTTGATACTATGAACAAGTTATTTCTCTCAGTGTAGAAATGCTGAGGAGGGTCAGCCCAGGTCGTGCATCTGAGAGCCACAGTTTGTATCTTTCTCTTTTTAGGTGTGTTCATCACCCACGGAGATGTCGGTGTGGGAACCATTGTGGGCTCTGCTGTGTTCAACATCCTGTGTATCATTGGAGTGTGTGGACTCTTTGCCGGCCAGGTCAGTGGTTTATCTCTGCCTGGTTGATCAGTACCCTGTAGGATGGGGGCAAGCTTCTCTAGAGCTGGTTAGAGTGGCAGTGGGGACACCAAGATGAGACTAACTTTGTCACTCTTTGTGGCTTTGAGCATATCAGCATTCTCCTCTGAACCCATGTCCTCCCCTGTAAAGAGGGCTTGTTGCCCGTTCCCTTCTGACAGTTTTGGGGCCTGAGAGGCAGGGCCATGTCAGGTGGACGTGGCCGGTTGAGGGGTGAGCATTCATTGAACAGCTGCAGCTGTTGAAGAAGGACCTCCTTGGACCCTGGTCTGGAGCAAGATCCCAGAACCACATGGGCAGCTTGGCTCCTTAGCAGGCAGGAGGCTGGCTGTGGTCTGTGTCCCATTCGGCACCCTCAGTGTCACAGAGAGCATTAGACTTAGCCTCAGAGAGGAGACTCATGGCAAGGCCCTGCCTTGCTTGGGGGTGGCAGAGCTGAGCAGCTGGTGACAAGCTGAAGGGACAAGGTGAATGTCTTTGCTCTCTACTTTGATAGCCAGCTCCCACTGTGAAATGTGCCTGAGAGCATTTCCTGGTTCTGTCTGCTCACCAACTGTGGCGTAGGGCCAGGCATCGCTGGGGAGGTACCTTGAAGGCAAGTCCTTGCACAGTCTGGGCAGCTGGCTCCGCTTGCAACCCCAGGCAATAGCAGCTGAAACCTTCTCTCTGATATTGCAGGTGGTGCGGCTGACGTGGTGGGCTGTGTGCCGTGACTCCGTGTATTACACACTGTCGGTCATTGTACTTATTGCAGTGAGTCATCCCCCATGCCCAGGTGTTGGGTGGCCAGGGCCCTATGAAAGCACAGATCCAGGCCTGTCTGTTCCTGGCCATGTGACCAGAGAGGTCACAGCACCAACAGTGGGCGTATGCTGACCCTTCCCTGAGTTCACATTGCCTCTCACGCTTTCTACCTCCACTGTGCCTCCCTTTCCCAAAGACCTCATTCCTAGCTCCTGCATTAGGGCCAAAGCCAGGACCATTTTAAGGACAAAAAGGCCTTAGAAAAAAACAAAGCATTTGTCATATGGCCGCTTGGGGAAGTTCAAGCGTGTATTCAGGGAAGGCCCATTCAAAGTCATCAGTTCCTCAGGAGCCTGAGGCTGGAGCTTTACAAGTTCAGGACCAACTTGGGCAACTTAGATCCTATCTCAAAATGAAAACTATCAAAAGGCATGAAGCTCAGTGGTAGAGTGTTAATTAGCATGTGCAAAAAAGGCCCAGTACCCAATACTGCAAAATAAATAAGTAAAATAGGAATCAAGTTTTTGGGTCACTACAGAGCAGAAGAGGGAAGGCTCAAAGCCATCACAGGGAGTGGCTGGGAGACAGGGAAAAGGGAAAGAAAGAAAATGAAGAGGAGCCAAAAGCAGGTCTCTGGGGTCCATTAGTGTGGAGTATGTCTCCTCAGGCCCAAGGCGAGGGTGGTATTGTGGTCCATACAGGGAAGTACAGTGTCGAGGCATGCCATCCACAAGGGAGCAGAGTTGATCTTTGCAATGGTGGCCCAAGGGCGGGTGCCTGTGGCATGCCTGGATTTCAAGGTAAGGAATACATCTTCATGTGACAGTTCTCCATCTTGCCAGAACCAAGGGTATGATAATCCTTGTATTAGTTATCTACTGCTGTGTAACAAGATTCCCTCAAGCTGGGCGTGGTGGGGCACACCTGCAGCCAAGGGCTAGGGATAGCTAGGGAAGTGCTTTAAGGGCATGGCCTTGCATTATCTGGGAAGTTGGCTCCCAGGCAGTAGTTCTAGGCCAGTTTTGGCTACATAATGAGATGCTGTCAAAAAAAAAAAAAAAATTCCTTCAAATGCAACAGCTTAAGAAATCAAGTAATCCTGCAAGTAAGAAATCTGGGGGTGGTCCTCAGGCCCCAAAAGAGAAGGATAAGAGGGATCTAAATATTCTAAATATGATCAAAATGTATTGTATATATTATATGAAATTTACAAAACCCAATAAAAGAGGAGAAGGATCTCAGGGCTCAGCCAGGCAAATCCTCTTCGGGAATACTCATATGGTTGTCAGATGGTATCTAGGCCTGGCCAGCTATCCCACAGTGCAGTTCACAAAGTGCCTACCCTCTAATTCCCGCCCTCCCTCTGTTGAGTAGCCTTCCTCAGAGACTTGAATCCAGAAGGCTCCCAGTGATGCCTGACTAGGGAGCTTGAAGTGGCTTCCTAAACAAGGCAGGTCTTGAGTATCCTGTCCACTGTGACAGCAAGGAGAAGGGTACAAGGGACCCAAGTCCAGACATCAGCCTCCAGCCTCTCCTGGTGCCACATATAGGGACCCTTTTGTCTCTGTGGAGGTTGGTGAGAAGAGCCCAGCTGCCTCAGAAGCATCTTTTATTTGCATCTTGTCCCACAGATCCTGGGTAGGAGGCACATTAGGACTTCCCCTAGAAAAAGGACGAATAGGCGACCAATGGATGGACTGATGGATGGATGGATTGATGGATAGACTGATGAATGGGTGGATGGATAGATGGGTAGATTGATATTCATTAGGAAATGGGCTCACGTGATCATAGATAATCCTGCAAGCTAGAGACCGAGGGAACGCAGTTACATGGCTTAGTCCTAAGCCAAAGGGTTGAGAAACCATGGTACCACTGGTGAAAGTCCTCGAGTCCAAAGGCCAGGGAACCTTCTTCTACCTTTTCATTCTGAGTCCTCAAATGACTAGACAGTGCCTACCACTTTCTTATTCAGTCCACTGATTCAAATGCTAGTTCCTTTCAGGAACACCCTCACAGACAAACCAGAAATAATATTATAGAAACTATCTGGGTATCCCTTAACTCAGGCAAATTGATACTTAAAATTAACCTCTGTGTTGAGCAATGTCACTGTCCCATTGTCACCCCGTACACACACATACACACTTATCCTGCCATTGACTTATACAGCTGGATCTTCTACATTGAAATTCCAAAAGGGGTTGCTCTTTAAAACTACCCAAGACACCACACACACACACACACACACACACACACACACACATATGCATAAACACAGGTATATAGAGATGTCTTCTCTGCCTTTGCATTTTGAATTTTAGTGACTGTTCCAGTAGCAAGGGGGACTTCCACCAGGCTGGCCCCAGCAGCTACGTAGACTATCATAAAGCATGGGCCACCTGTCTTGGGATGACCACACAAAGCTGGGGACAGATGCTGCAGTTCAGACCTAGCTTAGGCTCATCACTAAGGAATGGTCACCTTCCCTGGTTGAGAAACTGAGAAACGGAGAGAAGATCACAATATGCATGAGTTCCAAGGGCTTAGGTGTCTGTCCTTGTTCTCGCTTGAAATAAACGTGTCCCTTTGTTTCCTTTCCCTTCCAGTTCATATATGATGAGGAAATTGTGTGGTAAGTGTCTAAAGTTGCTGTTGCCAGTTGCCAATTGCCAATATTCTTGTATGTTGGACTTGCTGGTCTTTTGTAGGTCTATTTTGATAAATGTGGGCTTGTTAGCTTGTTGACAGTAACAGGGACATCATTCTAAGCAATCTTGTCTTTATCCTCTCAGAGTGACAAGACCTTCCCTCAATGTTCCTGCCCTGCCAGCTGCCAAGATCTGTGACACCCTTTTCTGACTTCTGCAGGCATTGCAGGACACGGGTGTACTTACATGCATGCAGGCAATACACTCATACACATAAAAATAATAAAATCAAAAGACTTATCGTAAACTAAAACAATGGGAATAATAGTATTTTACACAAAGACAAACAAGAGTGATAAGGAATCGGGTCACCAGGATATTTCTGGGAAGGGAGGTGCATCAGAGGTGGTCTGGCAAGGCAGAGTAATAGATGGGGTCTCAAATGCTGCAGAGACAAAGGTAATCCATGCAGAACACATCAGATCCCTCCCTCATGCCTCATACAGGAGCCAATTTCTGGTGAGTTAAAAAAAGCAAAATTTCGCCAGGCATGGTGGCACGTGCCTTTAACACCAGCACTCGGAGGCCGAGGCCGGAGGGTTCCAGCTGAGGCTACAGAGAGAGCCTGTCTCAAAAAGTCCAAAAAAGCAAAATTTTAGGGGTTGAGGATGACGCAGTTGGCAAAGTGCTTGTCATATGGCTAAGGACCTGAGTTCGGATCCTCAGCACCCACACAAAAAGCTAGGTGTGGCAGCGTGCCTGCTTGTAGTCCTGGTACTAGGTAGGCAGACAGAGGACCCCTGGGGCTCACTCGCCAGCCAGTCTGACTGAATCAGTGAGCTCTAAATTCAGTGAGAAACCTTGTCTCAAAAACTAAGAGTAATTGAGGTAGGCATCCAATGTCAGCCTCTGGCCTACATGCACATGTGCACACATATACACACACATATGCCGTATACACCAAAAACAGCAAAATTTTAAAAGAAAACTTAGAAGAAAATATAAGGACCCATCTTTATGATACCAAAGTAGGAAGTGACATTCTTAATCAGAAAATACAAACTTTGAGGAGCAAGTTGGTTCTTCCACTCAACTCCATAGGGAGTCCAAGCATCTGGTGTTCATATGTCATATAATTACCTGGCCACTGGCATGGTTCAGAATTTACATCATTTAGCATGGCCCCTGTGTGGCTTCTCAAGTTTGTGGTCAGAGGTGTAATATCCTCCACACCTCCACACTCCCCCCAACACATGGTCTGTAGGGTTGAGTTGTATCCATAAGATAGCAGTAACAGAATGTTCCAGAAAGAGACCATCACCGCTACCATGCTGTGTCTAGTGAAAGGACCTACTCTGCCCATTACATGGGAACTTGGGCCCCTTCCTACCTGTACTCATGATCTCCGACCAGAATTTTGAGTGGTCCCAGGTTTTCTTAGGGCTGAGTTCAGGCTCTGGGCCATGGCAGCTAGGGGTCATAACTGGGAATGGGGATTCCCCTGAGTCCTGCAGACCCCTGTAGTTGAAAAGACCCACCCCCAACTTTCAGTTATCAATTGACTCTCATTGGCAGGACAGCCTTAGGTTGGGGCATCTCGCCCACATGCACAAGTCCCAGGGATTGGGGAGGTGAGGATCTCCTACCCCACCATCTTCCCGGGCCACACAACCCCAGCCTGTGGGCACCATGGCATCCAGGAACTCTAACTACACTTTCCTTTGTCTCTCCGAGGTGGGAAGGCCTGGTGCTCATCATCTTGTACGTGTTTTATATTCTGATCATGAAGTAAGTTGCCTCTCTCCTTTCAGACCTGGGGGTGCCTCCCTCTACATCTGTTCCCACTTTTGGTCAGAACAGGGAAAATCCTTTATCCCATCTTCCAGTTCCATTAGGGTGGCCTCCATTCTCTGGACAACATCAGGCAGGGGCAGCCAGAGCAGGAGACAAGGACTCAAACACTGTTTGGGGGTGCAATGCTGGGTGGCTGATATAGGACAGATACTGCTCTCCTGAAATAAGTCCCCAGCAAGGACCTGTGTCCCTCCCTGCTCTGAGCAGCTCCCCTGCACAAGGATAATCACTGTTTAGCTGTTTCAATGAGTCTAGTAACAATACTATTCTCAAAAGGCCAGGCAGCTTAACCTCTGCTACAGGCTTTATTAAATACCACTTCTCGGAGCCACTACTTATGATACAGGGTCCCTCTCATAGTCCTGGGGGCACAAGCGCTATGTTCTGAGTTGGGAAACCTTGAGGTGCTTGGGAAGCTGCCTAGACCTCAATCACCTCAAAACTACCCATGAGGAAGAGATGAGACAGCCCCAAAGATGAATGAAGTTCTCACTCATGATTCAACACAGATGAACCTTGAAAACCTCACCAAATAGAAGAGGCCAGTCACCAAAGGCCAAATAATATTTATGAGTCAATATTCATGAGGTACCTGGAAGAATCAAGTTCACAGAGACACATAGATTAGAGGTAATCACTGGAGTGATTAGTGGGTGCAGATTTGTTGGGATGAAGGAAAAGTTGGGGAAATATTGGCAGTGGTTGTACAACAATGGATATAGTCAATGCCACCAAGTGTCTAATTAAAAAATGGGAAATATAGGGCTGGAGAGATGGCTCAGCGGTTAAGAACACTGGCTATTCTTGCAGAAGACCCGGGTTCAAATCCCAGCACCCATGTGGCAGCTAACAACTGTCTATAACTCCAGTTCCAGGGGCTCTGACAGCTTCTTCTGTCCTCCGCGGGCATTGCACAATAGGGGTGCATTTACCTACATGCAAGCAATACACGCGTACACATAAAATAAAAATAATAAAATATTTAAAAAATGGGAAATATAGTGACAAATTTATATTTATATGTATGCATATATGTGTCGGGGAGGGGGTTCTACCAAAAAATCGAATAAGCCACTATCCATGAGTATCCATGGGCTTGGCTACACACAGGTTTCTTTTCTCTCTCATGTAACTAAAAAGAAAGACAACACCATGGGCGTTATGTGCATCCCCAACCTTAGTATAATATCTCATAAATATGTTCCAAACCTAATATTTTATAAAATGGATGATAAATGTTGGACTGCAAGAAAACTTCAGTGGCCTTTCCAGAGCCATTCAGTGAGCAGCCAGCAGAGGGATTTAGAGGTGGAGAGATCTTCTCTTCTCTCAGGGGATGGTGATGCTGGTCATAAGTGACAGAAAGGACACCAAACAGCCCAGCTGAACAACAGTCTCTTCTGGGGAGAGGATAGGCATGATGGTGATGCCTCCTTTGAGCCTTTCCCATAGGCTGGGCTGAACTGCTTTTAGTGATAAGCAGTCTGTGCATTAAATGGAGGGCCTCTGACACCCCAGGAGGCCACTCACCCCTAAATAGAGGGAGGTGACCACCCCCAGACTGTGCATGATCCCAACTTCCTCAGCTCAGTTGGAGAGCCTCTCTGGACGCCCTCCACCCCCAGCTGGTAAGATGGGATTCCTTTCTGCTCCCCTGATCTCCTGCATTACCCGACTTACAGGTACAACATGAAGATGCAGACTTTTTTCACAACCAAACAAAAGAGCATTGCAAATGGTAACCCAGTCAACAGCGAGCTGGAAGATGGTAATGACCTCTATGATGGTAGCTATGACGACCCTTCAGTGCCATTGCTGGGGCAAGGTAAGGCTGAGCAGACAGGAGCAGTGGACCCTTGTGGAAGCCACTCTATACACACACACACAAACACACTCACACACTGCACTCTCACCCTATGACCTTCAGTCATACACACCCCAGATGAGAAGACCCACATTTGAGGTGTTGGTCAGATGAGTATTCCCTTAGATAGGACCAGATGGAGGGGAAAAGTCCACCAGAAGGAAAACAACAACAACAACAACAAAATATATATATATATGTATATATATATCAATAATTACATCATAGGAATTTTCCCATACTTGCAGAGACAGATGGGAGGCCTATTTGACTCTGGTGATACAGCACTGTCTCTGATCAAAAGAAGAGCCCATGACAGGATGCTGAGGCCTTGGATGGCAGATCCTGAGCCTACCTATGGCATCTCAAGTGCCAGGCCTGTCCTCAAGAAATTCATCCTGGAAATAGTGGTGCCTCTCAAGCTTGGGAACAGTTGCCTGGAGGCACAGTGAGGCTGGGAAAAACAGCCTTAGAGTTTTGTAGGCACTCCAGGCTAGCCCAGGGGCCTGTATGGAAGCCCTCCCCTAGCAGCAGATGTCTCCTTGCCTTAGCAGTTCTTTTGGGTCCCTCCCTGGGAACCGACGGTCTATGGAACCAGGCCCTGTCCTCTCAGTCTTGAGTTGTCTTGACCAGTTTCTTTCTTAGTAATGTCCTTGACTCTTAGTAACTCAGTTGTCAGGTGACACCCCAGCAATGGGACAGCTACCCCAAGCCAGCCCAGGTAAAGTTAGGGTAAGGAAAGCCAGGGCTACGTGGTATCTTCAATGCACTTAAGGCACTGTGAGAGGCCTTCTGGGCTACGTGCCGGAGCCCCACCCACCTGAGGTATCTTCTACCCCATTCCTCATGACTCTGGGCAAGTCTCATCCTCTTCCAGGTGACCTTAACTTGCTTGTGGTGTCAGGAGTGGGACCAGGTGGTCTCAGAGGCTCTGCTTACTGGTGTCTGTGGCACCTGAGGAATCTCTATTGATCCTCTCCAACCTCTGACCTGGCCAAGTGTGTTCTGTTCAGTCTTGGGTATACCCAAAAGGAAAGCACTTGTCACAGGCGGTCTTCTAAGCACTGCATCTTTCCACACGGAAGGAGGAAGCCCACTGAGGCAGGAGAGGGAGCACAAGAGCGGTAGAAGCCACTGTATGGCCACAGGAGGCCTCTGGAGAGAGAGAGCCAAGGAAGCCAGAGTGTGGAGTTGAAGGGTCACGTGATGTTTCATAAATGCACAGCTGGGTGCCCTCAGGGAGCAGGTTCTAGGACATCCTCCTCCTCTGAGGGGAAGGCTCTGATGTTTGGGATAGGTGCCATGGTCTAGCAGGACAGAGGCTGGCCCCCACCCAGCACATAAGTTGTGCCCCAAGCTCCCTTGGACTTTTTGTGTCAACGAAGAGAGATCTGAGTGGAGAATTATAGACGTGGCCACTCCTGAAAGCTGCCTCCTGTCCTGAGGTGGACAGAAGAGGCTGTCCCCAGTGCCCTGTGAGAGACACCCCTCACTTGCAGTGGGGTCCTCAGCTCTACCATTCCCAGGAAAACCAGGCTCCCCAAACTAGCTTCCCATATACAGTAACTTTTCTGGTGCTCCATGGTGACTGTCTTCATCACTTATGTACCTGGGACTGTGGGACTTCCTCATGGGTTTTACACACACACCCTCATCCACCATCACTAAGTCCAAGATAACATCTAGAAAATCAAAGACTGGACACAGAGCTGGTTCAAGCACTGGGACCAAGGGAGGATCAAGTCTCTTATATCCCTTATTGAGCAGATGTCCTTATAGCAGAGGCCATGGGAGGAAAAGGTCCCTGAGTGATCCATGAAGGAGGCACAGGCATGGACTCTGGATTTGGAGAGGGCTCCACCTAGAGGTGTAGACTTCAGGTCTGCTTCTGGTCTTTACTGCTCAATAAGCCACCCTCTAGGGCCATGTGTAAGCACTCCACCATACATCTGGATAGGGTTCACTGAAGGAGGAGGAAGAATTGCCAGTGACACCCCAGGTGGGACTGGGGAGAACAGGCCTTCCAACTTTGTTTTTGTAACAGTGTTGCCATGGCATCTTTAGGCAGGAGATAACATCACTTTCTCTCCCCCATCCTCAGCCTCCTGGCTGGTGGCCCTCTAGCCACACCACTGAAAGGAATGTGAGGCTTGTGCCCTGGTGTTTCAAGGAGCCCTTTGGGCTGGGGGTGTAGCTCAGTGGTAGGGTATTTGCCTATCATAGCCAAGCCTCTAGAAAAAAATAAAACGTGCCTGCTCTCCCTAACCCTGTGTTTCTTATATAAAATCTAAAACTTAAAATTCAACCTCTTGACAGGAGAAGGGGAAGAAGCTCATTTCTACTTAAACGTTCTTAGCATGTAGCTCAGCTTACTACCTCAGTCTCTTGGCTGGTTCTCAGGTGGCCTTGTTCACAGCCTGACAGTCAGGGTTACCTGGCCATCAGCTGCCAAATCTGGCCACATTGGTCTAGTTCAGAGAGCTCCCTGGGGAAACTTCCAAGCTGCCTTCGTATGAGGCACAACTTAAGCCTGGAGAGACTAGGGAGGGTTAATATGGGGCCTTGAACTGAATTATTGGGAAAACACCTGCAGTTGTGGGGCCTTCTGGGCCACCGCTTTCAGCTTGGATGGCACTGAGGCAAGATGTCCCAGGGTCCAGGTGTCACAGGTCCTGTCTCGCAGGCTCCTTGGGGTTTTGAACCCAGGTGGTCTCCAAGTGGTACCTGTGATGGGGCTGGAATGGAGCATGGCACCTGCAAGCATTGCTGGTGTCCCCTCCCTCTGAGATGGCAGCCCCGAGCATTGAGGCTCCCTGTGGAAGGAGCCCACGACTAACACCCTCCTTCACATAATCCCGGCATCCCCGCCACCAGCAAGAGCGCTGCCCCAGACTCCGCCGCACGCTAACCACCTGTGGCCATCTGTGCTGGCCTCTGTCTTCCTAACTCTCCTCTTCTAAATTGTAAGTAACCTGCTTTCATCCTGGCTATAACACATGCTTTTACAATAAACACACTGCCACGAGCCCAACCCCACACTGCCCGCCTCCTTGGAGGTTAGTGTCCATCTCAGACAGGTGCATGGGCCTCCAGCTGTTTTCTAACCCATTCGCCTCCTGTCTGCTGAGCCTTGCTGCCTGTGTGGGGTGTGTGTGTGTGTGTTGGGGAAGGTGTTTGCTGTGCATTTTGTGCCATTAACTTCTGCATGAGTTTGCCCTCTGAGCCAGTTCCCTATTTACCCAGTTCCTCATGTAGGACTCTATGGGATCTGGTAACCAATATAGAGGGACAGCCATGTCTGTCTTCCTAACTCCTTAGAGGAGACACACTGCTTGCTTCTGGGTGCTGTGTTTATGAGTGGTTTGGTTACTAGACCTTCCCCGGTACTTGGAATGCCATGTCAAGTTCCCCAGGACTCTGGCCCTGAGTGTTTGTGAAAGAAGAGGGACGGGAATGGGCATTATGCTGTACTTGTAGGAAAGGAAAGGGTTGGAGAAAGCAGCTGGCTCCCTGGAGGGTATCAGGGTTTATCAAAGATACTGACTGGTCCAGCCAATAGCATAGCCACAGACAAACAGGCTCCCTCTAGGGTCTCTGAAGTCTAGTCTAGAACCTGGGGCCAAATCCTTAGCCTAGCTGCTTGCCTGCTGGGGAGGAGGAGGAAACCTCCCCAACAGTGCTAAGGTTTGCTGCAAGGAAGGGCAGGGAGGCAGAGCAGGGGCCTCGGGGTAGGTTATAGCAGTACTGTCCTCTGCTTTCTAGTTCTTTCCACTCCTACAGACCATTACTGACCTTAACTGACTTGTAGAGTTTCATCCAAGTCTCTGCAAATCAGGGTAGAGTAGTGGGTGGTCCTGTCTCAGTCATGGGTGATAGACATAGGGCCCTGTCTGTTGCATAGTTGGGCTGCCCCAGTGAGTCCTACGCAAGACACTGAAAAGCCCTTGCAGCTGGCCAAGGCTGGGCCCTAGAAAAGAGGGACTTGAGGGAGCCAGGCACCGACCTTGGAGAGGCCAGATGTAGCACATCTGCCCATAGAAGGTCCTGTGTAGCAGGGCACCTGCTGGTTCTAACTTGCTGAATCACAGGCGTTTCAGAACCAGTGACAACCCCGCCCCCCTTTAACAGGGGGAGGAGGAGCAGTGGGATGGAACTGAAGCTGGGTCTCTGACCTCAAGGTAGCTGCCAGCTACCAGGAGCACAGCCCCAAGATGTTGGCTAGGGAAGGGGAGGTGAGTCCCATCCCTAGGGTGTTGACCTCCAAGGGGCCAGCACTGATCATCGGGTGTGCTCTACAGTGAAGGAGAAACCTCCCTATGGCAAGACCCCAGTGGTGATGGTGGACGAAATCATGAGCTCTAGTCCGCCCAAGTTCACCTTTCCAGAGGCTGGCCTGCGCATCATGATCACCAACAAGTTTGGACCTAGGACCCGGCTGCGGATGGCCAGTAGGATCATAATTAATGAGGTAAGTTCACCTACCAGGTGGGTCCAACGTGCAGCCAACAGACTGCATGCAGCTGAGGGTAGCTGTGAATGTGGCCCAACCCCAAATCCTAAACATGCTTAAGATATTACCAGGTGGTTTTGTTTGTTGGTTTGTTTCTATTTTTGTTTTTGCTTTTTTGTTTTGTTTGGTTTTGTTTTAAAGATATGGTCTCACTGTGTAGCCCACACTGGCCTCAAACTTACAGAGCTCCACCTGCCTCTGCCTCTCAAGTGCTGGGATCAAAGGCATGCACCCCCATACCTGGCCACATTTTTTCATTGTAACTCAACTGCACAGCTCTAGAGCATAAACTTTGCAGATGACATTGGATTGTGATGTCAAAAGATCAGGCATGCCACTAGACAGAAAGTGACTGGCTTTAGGTGGGTCCAACAATTTGAAGGGTCCCGGCTCCTTAGGACTCTTCCTGGACTCCTTTCCTGCCATACCTGTCAGAGGAAGGAATAGCAAGGGGCCTTCAGAGGCCCGAATTACCTACCAGTAGCCAGCCACCCTATCAGGGAAGTTTAAGCAGAAGGTAGAGGAGTCCCATGCCTGACATATTTTACTGTTTGTCAAAGACTAGAGTTGATCAAATTAGAGAAAGGGAAGCCTGCAGTATAGACAGTTTCCTCCTAGTGTTGTTTAGAGTAAAACCTAACCATCTATAGACAGCCACCTATTGTCTATAGATAAAATGACCTTGACCTTACTAAGGAATGGTAAATGAAGTCTGAGGACTTCATTACTCTTGCTGTTCTTTTTTCTTTTTAATTTTATGTGTATGCATGGTTTACCTTCTTTATGTAAGTGCATCCATGCACACAATCCATAAAGAGGCAGGACGAGGGTGTCAGATCCCTTGGAACTAGAGTTATGGACAGTTGTGAACCACCGTGTGGCCATGTGGGTGCTGGGAACTGAACTCAGGTTCTCTGCAAGGGCAGCCAGTCCTGTTAACCAGTTAGCCATCTCTCTGGGCCCACTCTTGCTGTTCTTAGGTTTTATCCTAGGTATCTCCTCGTTTGGAAAAGAAACCATAACTTGAATATTACTCAACCAATACTGCAAAGGTAATGGGATGTGTTGCTTAGAAGCTTAGCCTCTTTCTGGGCATTTGAGCACTTGGCGTCCTTATTCTCAGAAAGAAGCAGTGGCCAGAGGGCTGGAGATGGTTGGAATTAGTAGCCAGCCCATGATTGTCTGCAAGAGTGCTATTCCCCAGTAGCTTTATTGTATCTTTTTATGACACGTACAACACATTGTTTGTTTGGGGAGGGGTCCCACTATGTAGTCCCAAGCTGGCCTGGATCTTGAGATCCTCCTGCCTCAGCTTCCTTAGCAATAGAATTACAGTTAAATGCTACCACACTGGGCTCCAATAACAGGTTTTGATGAGCTGGTGACTACTGGCTGTTGTACTCCAAATGTTTTCAGCTGCTGGGGAATTTATATCTTTGGCCATATTGGGTTTGGCCTGCCTGGCAGGGTAGCCTAGAAGCTGCAGATGACAGGCTCAGGAGGAAGGAACTGAATTCTAGCTTCATGCCATCCTTTAACTCTCTGAATCTCCTTGGGCCTTAATTTCTCTGTCTGAGGATACTAGACAGGATGCATCTAGCTCTAAGAAAGTCTCAGTGACACATTGGAAGACTATGCCAAGGGCCTAAAGCAGCAGTCTTTATAGACAGTCATCAGGGAATGGGAACCAAAACTCTCAAAGTTGTTCATTAAGACACCCTAGGGAAATAGCTCAGTAAAATGCCTGGCTTGCAAGCAGAAGGGCCTGGGTTCAATCCCTCAAAGCCATATTTTTTTTTAAAGCCAGGAACTAAGTGTGGTGGCACATGTCTTTAATCCCAGCACTCGGGAGCCAGAGGTAGGCAGAACTCTGTGGTTCAGTGCAGCCAAAGTGTTACAGTGACACACGCTGTTCTTATAACCCCAAGCACTGACACCCTGTCTTAAAAAAGAGGGATGGTACCTGCAGACTGATAACTGAGGTGATCCTTTGTCCTCCATGTGTGCTCATACATATGTGCATGTGCATCTGCATACCCACATACCCATATGTGCACACCTGCATGCACACATGTACCCCATACACATGAACATGCACACACAAACACATATACACACATATAAGACACCATATCCTCATTTTATCTTCAGTCATTTTAATTCTAGAACATTAGAGAAGTTTACAAAGCTGAAATCAGTTCATGATGAAAATGACTATGGGATGGCCTTTCAATTGTTCCTTATCAAAGAGGGCAGAGTGGCTACAGAGGGACTGGTCCTGGGATGAGGGGCAGGAAGGCACCTTCTCCTTCCCTCTGGGGGGGGGGCACACCTGCCTCACTCTGCTATCCTCACTCGAAGCCACAGAGACAAGTTCCTCAGGGTCCAGAGATCCATCGCTCTTGGCTTCCCTCCCACTTTTCCTTCCCACTGTTCTGCACCTGGATGCTGATCCCTTTTCGTCTATAACACCAGCTGTCATTTATGGAACAGCTGCTCTGGACTAGGCAGAGGCTGGGCACTGCCCTGTGGTGATTCCAGTCCTCTTGGTGACACAATGGCAATGCAAACCCATCCATCAGAGGGATGAGGCCATTTGCTCAGGACACACAACTGTTAAGGTGTAGAGCAGGGATTCCAGCCTGAATCTGAGGCTAACTGCAAAAAGAGAAGCCTAGGCACCTAGGGCCAGTGTGACCTGTGCCACTTGCCTCTCTTTCTGGATCTTTCTTCCCCTGGCAAAGCCAGTCCCTTTTCAAGTTGCTTATCATGGCTCATCTACATGAGTACCTGCCTTTTCTGTGTGGCTTCTCTTTCAACATCGGACAGCAGGACAGCAGTCACCTCTCCCTAAGCCTCACCATCTTTGGAATTGCATCTTTTGTCATGTGACAAGCTTCGAATAATTCCCTTCATATGTAAAGAGCCTTTTGGTTTGTCTCTTGGTATGTGGCTCCATTACCTTCCTTGTATTGTAATTTCTGCCTCTTTTAATACAACTTTAGCTGTCCTTAGAGGTTTTCTTTTCCTGTCCTTAGAGGTTTTCTTTTCCGGGTAGAATCCTCTTAATTCTTTTAAGCCAGGATTGGAACCATCCCCCATCACCACCATTCATCTCACTGTGGAGTGACGCCTGTACCTTTGTAATTCTGTCTCTGTCTAGCTAGTTCTTTTTATTTTCATTTTCGTTTGTTTGTTTTGGACTTCTTGGGTGACCTTTCATTGAACCCCAGCTAACTAGTAAGTATTTCATGTTTAAGCCTTTGCTCCAGAAAGTGGGATAGGTGTTGAGGACTGTTGTTTAAAAAAAAAAAGTTGAAAAGTACTACACACACACGCACACACACACACACACACACACCTGCTGTAGGAGTTTCTGTCTCAGAGTCATATGAAGACAGTTCAGCAGTCAGTGACTCTCTTCAGAGCAAGAAAGGTGTCTTATGAGTTTTAATGGCTCCCCCACATGGCCACCAGGATAGGTGTGGGGCACCTCCTTATGGAGGATTGTTGAGGGGCCACAGCTCCTTTCCTGGATCTCCTGCTGAAATAATGGAGATGGGTTTGTGTGTCACTGTGGCATGATCAGTACCCACAGTGCTGATCCATAACCCTGTGAAGGGGAGCCGAGTGGAAACAGATAGGTTCTAGAGAACATAGTGCTTGTTGAATTCGTTTCCTTTCCTCCCCCTCCC